GTGAGTTTATGGGAAACTGTCTCCCCTCACCCATATCACCACACTAATTCCTGTTTTAACTAAAATGATAGAAAAAAGAAAAAAAAAGTTTAGTTTAAATCCTAACTAGTGAATAAAGTGGGATGCTTAGTTTGCGGTTGAATGTTTTCCATTTCTCTTTGATCCCTTTGTCCAGGTAAGAACCAGTATTTGGAAGGCCAGTGTTCAGATTTGCTATGTCTGTCCAGACGACTTGAACAATGATGTATTACACTAACTTTACTAAAGTGTAGTGCAGGGTTTCCCAACCTGGGTGATATTGCCAAATGGCGGGTGATTCCAACTGTTCGGTGGGTGATGAGCAGCCGAATAGAAAATGGTGGGGGACTGGAAATTTTGGTAGCTGATATAGAATTTTGAGTATTAACAAAGGTGTTTCAACATATGATACTGGACAAAAAATATTCAAAGAATGTATGCCAAGAACCTGTATAAAAAAAACAAAACAAAAAAAAAAAAATGAGGTCTAAATGGGAATAGCTGGATCATATCCCTAGAAAAGATATAAATATACCCACAAAAAAATGAATATTTGTGTATTTTCTATAATTTTGAGAAGGTTCATTAACATTCAAATAGTTCTTCAGACAAAATTTTTTGAGATATAAATCAGATAAGGAAAGACCAAGAAGAACTTTGACACTAAAATTAAGAAGTGACCTCAGGATAATTTTTATTCATTAAGACCTTGAATAAGTTCTTGCTGTTTTCCAACAGTTGGTGTTTCCAAAACTGCATTTAGTTTCAGATAACACACCTATAACGAAGTACTATAAGCAAGCTTGAAATTCAGTGTGTGTCATTTCGCCAAGGTGTAAATAACTTTGTTTTTCATAGTGTTAAACATGTCGCATTTTGTGCCAAAGAAAGTGTAGTTGTGGAGAATTTTACTACACTGCATCTGAAGCACACATAATTCTTGTTGAGACTTGCAGTGACCATGCTCTGTTGGAAACAACATGCAGAGATTGGTTTAGATGCTTCAAAAATAATGATTTTGATGTTGAAGATAAAGAACACTCTGGCATAACAAAAAAGTTTGAAGACGAAGAATTGGAGGCATTACTTGATGAAGATTCATGTAAGATGCAAGCTGAACTTGCAGAATCATTAGGAGTTGATCACACAACAGTTTCAAAACATTTGAAAGCATTAGGAATAATTCAAAAGCAAGGACATTGGGTGCTGTACGAGTTAAAGCTGAGAGACATCGAATGACATCTTGTCACATGTGAACAACTTCTCCAGTGGCAGAAAAGGAAAGGTTTTTTGCATCATATCGAGACCGGCAATGAAAAGTGGATACTCTATGATAACCCTAAGCATAGAAGATCATGAGGTAAGCTTGGACCTGCATCAACATTGGCAGCAAAGCTGAATATTCATGGTTCGAAGTTTCTGCTTTGTATTTGATGGGATCAGCTGGGTATAGTATATTACGAGCTGCTCAAACTGGCTGAAACCATCACAGGAGAGCACTATTGACTACAAGTGATGCATTTGAGTTGAGCATTGAAGAAAAAAATGGATTGCTATATGAGCAGAGACATGACAAAGACAAGACAATGCGAGGCCACAAAATGGGTGAAAACCTACTTGGAAACGTGTAAATGGGAATTCCTATCCCACTAGACATTGCCCTTTCTGATTATCATTTGCTCCGATCAATGCTTTTCAAATATTTACTATGCAAGCAGGCAGTAGAATTTTTTCCATGTGACAGTGAGACATGATCGAAAATATTTGGGAACCCCTGGAGTAGTGTATGAATGTAACATATTGTCCGTTGTATATTATGAATAAAGAACACAAGGCCGAATCTCTCGTATATAACATTACTGTTTTAAAGAAACTGTGCTCCAACCTGTTCGTTACTGTTGAACTCTGCTTTGAGCAGAGAGGAACCCACATGAGGCTTTGCCAAAGGGCAAAGTTTCATCTGGGGAGGTAGACATGCCCGGATTGTTTATGCAGGTTCTATGGGAATATTTTTGGCCGAGCCTACGGGCTCAAAGAACCAACGATTAACTCGGTCTTGTGCCACATACATCCCTCATGGACAGGGCTGTTAAATATTAACATTACTGTTTATTTCATCCCAGACCCAACTTATCTGAACATAAACGCTACATTGTGATGTCCTTTTCTGGAGTCGGGGTTTATATAGTTACCTGTCATATTGCAGACCAAAGCTGGCTAGAAAGTCATCTCTCAGGTTGACCTGCTGATGCACCTGGCATCTCTGAAGGACACTGAGTGCATAGTCTATTCTGGCATGATCTGGGTTTGGACCCAGACATCACAGTGAGAATGGCTTGCAAATTTTAACCTTCATAGAATATCCAATAATGTTGAAACTTGAATAAAGCATGGAATAATAATAATACAACACAAAATGAACTTAAACAAAATGTATTGACACAAGAACATGTACACAATATTTACAGATAGTTTGGTATATTCTTGGGAAGACCGTTCCTGTAGAATAGGTTGACTTAGTCGCAGTCGGGCAGAGTCTCTGGATTGGATCTCTTCTTCCTCCCCCGTCTTCCCGGTAACAACCATATTTATATGGTCGGTACTCCACTATGTAAATTAGGTGGATCTTACCACAACAAATAATGACCTTGGTTGTAGTGAAATGACAAACAACAGACCCCCAAATACCTGTGTATAATAACACAGTGAACATTGAATAAAATGACTATCAGCTAAAGCTATCTGGATTTGGAGAATTCGCTTTATACATGGTATTCTTTACTCTATTTTTTCCTGGCAAAAGCTTGTCAAACACTGACTTAACTTTCCTAGTGAACATTAGTTCAGCTGGTGCCATGTTTGAGTGTGTTCTCTGGTTTGGTGTGATTCTGTATACTTGTAAGAATTGCTGAAGCGCCTTTTCCATTGGAACTCCTGAGGCTTTCTTCAGAGCTCGCTTTAAAGTATCGACAAATCTTTCTGCAGTCCATTAGACCTCGGATGATTCGGAGGCGTCGTTATGTGGTTAATTTGATAAAGCTCACAAAAATTCCTTAAATTCTTCAGAAGTGAATTGTGTACCATTGTCACTCACAATACACTCTGGCACACCGAACCGTGCAAATAGTTCATGCAAAAAAGTTGTTGTGGTATTGGACGTAGGCTTTTTACAGCGTAGTACTTCCGGCCATTTTGTAAAACTATCTACCACTAAGTACCATTAAGTAGTAAAAATCTTCTACTGGACCAGCGAAATCAATGTGTAATCTTGTCCATGGATGATCCGTCTTGGGCCATGGTTTGTGCACTATAGGTGGTGCCTTAGCTGCTAACGCACACCCCTTACATTGATGAACCATGTTTTCGATATCCATATCCATTCCTTTCCAATACACAAAGCTTCGCATTAAGCTTTTGTTCTATTAATCCCAGGTGACCTATATGAAAGTCCCAAGTATTCTTTTCAGTAACTTTTTTGGTACTACTACTCTCTCACCATATAATAAAACTCCGTCACCTATTGAATAATTCTCCTGCACTTTTTGGTCATTTGCTACCATTTTGCTTTTTATTTCTAAAAATGAAATCATCGCTTTCAGCTTCTTTTTTTAATTTCCTTTAGTGTAACCGGTAGCTCTCTTACAATGTTGTTTACCATGCTTTTCACCTCATAATCTGCTCTGATATTTGCAATAATTGATTCTTCGAATCTTTCTTCTTGACTTGGTACTAGTCTTGATAGACTATCCGCATGAATTATATTTTTGGATGATAGGTGCTTTATGTGAAAATAATTGAGAAGAATGGTTCCCCATCTTAACAGACGATTTGCTGTATAAACGGGTAACCCTTTCTTTGAACCAAAAATGGTGATCAGTGGTTTATAATCCGTTTCAAGCATAAAATGTCTGCCGTGGTTGTACCTGTGAAATTTTTGTATGGCAAAAATGATACTCAGTGCCTCTTTTTCTATCTGAGAGTAACTTTTTCTCCTGGGAGCAAAGTTCTCGAGTGTGTAAATTGGTTTTCTAGAACCATCTGGCATTATGTGTTGAATACACGCCCTATCCCGTATGAACTAGCGTCACTTGCCACTACAATATCCAGTTTTGGATTGTAATGGGTTAAAAAGAGGTCGGACGTAAACATTTTCTTTATTTCATCAAAGGCTTTCTGACATTCTACCATCCATTCCATGCCTTGTCTTTTTTTTAGCAGTTCATTCAACGGAGCTCTTAAATTGTACATTCCTTTAATGAACGCTTGATAATAATTTGCAAGCCCCAGAAAACTCTGTAGCATCGCCACATTAGTGGGCGTCGGCATGTCTCTAATCGCATTGACCTTTCCGGATCTGGACATCTGCCATTTTTTGTTGATTATGTGCCCTAAATACTTAATTTCCTCCAAACCAAATTCGCACTTTGACTCTTTGACTTTAAATCCAAAGTCCTGAATCTTTTTAAATACTTGATTGAGATGCTCTCGATGTTCGTCGATGGTTTCGCTCCTTACTATGATGTCATCTAAGTAGGTGCACGCAAAGTCTAAATCATTCAACATGACGTCCATAGCTTGTTGAAAAATGGCTGGTGCCACTTTAATACCAAAAGGAAACCTGTTGTACTTGAATAACCCTCTATGTGTGTTTATCCCTAGTAACTTCCGAACATTCCTCTTGACGGAATTTGGAGATAGGCATCTGATAAGTCAATTTTTGAAAATATAACTCCACCATTTAGCTTATTAAAATCTCCTCCGGACTCGGTAATGGGTAATGGTAGTCCTAATTACCAAGTTTAACCCTGTCGAAAAAATCAACGAGACTCTGACTTGGTTTGATTTCTTTTTTATGCACACAATCGGCGCAGCCCATGAATTAGATTCTACTTTCGAAATAATTCCCATTTTTTCCAACCTATCAAGTTCTTCGTTAATTTTTCTCTACACTTACGAAAGGCACGTTACGTTTCTTTTTAAAA